GGTATCTATCTGTTTCTTCAACCTAGATTTTATGGTCTTCTAAATCAAGGACTTGTTCTTTTTCTAAAAAAAAATAAAAAAAAACTCATGCCAAAATTTGAGTATTTCATGTGCTATTTTTTCTCTTATACTCTCATTCCCTTAAATGTCTACCTTTCCTCCCCTAATTTTCCTCATGTCACTAACACCCCTTTCCCTCCTGGTGTCCCCCAAGGATTTCCTGCTGGTGCCTTAGAGAATCCCTGTTTCATAGGAAATGTACTCTTTTCATCCTGCCTTTTTCTAAAAGAATGTTTTCTCCCACTCTTCACAATAACTCAGTAATTTTCAATCCTATCTGGACATTAGAATCACCTATAGAGCTTTTTTTAAAGGAAAGGAGAGTGAGAGAGGGAAGCAAACAATATCCAGGTCCCACCCTAGACTGATTAATTCAGTTTTGACAAGTGGGTGGGACTCAGTCCATCACTCTTATTAAAAATTCTCTAGATTATTTAAATGTATTGCCAAGCTGTGAATCACTGCCTAAAATCAGCATCTTTTCTGAGAGCACCACTTCTAATAGAGGCCATTCTTTCTGTCACATTTGATAAACAACAGAGAGAGGAGTGCCAGCATTTTTCTTGCAAATCTCTTTATTTATGTGAATCTAAATATATGTCTAGTTTGATTGCAGCAGTCCATCCTTTTCCATCGTTTGTTTTCCATCATTGTCTCACTGGGACCTTGACAACCCACTTAAAGTCACTTTCTCCCCCGCAACTCCTACCATCATTCTGTGAGATCCCAATATGCATATGGTTGATCTCTCCATTGCCATAGCTAAAGAATTTTTGCCTTCCTCAGTTCACTCCAGCATCATCCATGGCCACACCCAGAGTTTGCTATCACCCACTATGGCTTCATCAGAAAAATCATTGAGTCTGTCATCCCAGCCTCTTCCTTTTTAGCTTATGTTCTCATGTTTCTCACATATACCATACCAAGGGTTTTTATATTTATGGTGTTGTTGCTGTTTTATTTTTGCTTTACCTTAAAGGGATAGCTAAATTATTTATTTCCCCTCATTTTTCTGCCAGTCCCTGTTGCCTCACTTTCTGCCAGTCCCTGTTGCCTCACTTTCTTCCTGGACCAAATGGTTGACCTAAACTACTTTAGTATATTTATTTCCCTTGATCCCCAGTCAGCTGCATTGTCCCAGTGAAATCTTAACCCTAGTTCGAGCTCTCACACCGTTTTCTCTGCTTTTTAATCTCTGCACCTGAGCCCTGCTACAAATGGATGATTTCTATTTCTGTTAGGGCCTCAACATTTCAGGAAAATCTTTTTCTTTTCATTTCTATTTCAAATTCCCTCAATACATACTCCAAACCTTCACCTGTCTTCTCAATACCCACTTTACTCACAAGAATGACTGTATCTCCTCCTACACCAAGGAAATTGAAATTGAAGCATATTCTTTCTCAACTCTATCTCCCTCAACCCTACCACCTCTAAACTCACTCAGCCAATAGCAAAAAGCCATGGAGTAACTGATCAAATTACTTTCTTGAAATATCTTCTCAGATGTTCCATAAGCACCTCAAGCTGCACTTAATTTTTCTCACCCTTCCCCAATCTTCCTCTGTATTGCTTATCAACCCAAAATTCTGCCAGTCGTTCTTGACTTTTCTCTCCCTCTCTTTTACATCAAGTTCTGTCCTTTTAAACCCTAAATATTTCTTAAACGATGTCTTTCCGTTCCTACTACCTCCTCTCTATTGGAAACCTTCATCTCTCATCAGAGCTGTTTCAGCAGCCTTCCACCTCATTTGGTTTCCTGCAGCCCATTCTCTAAATGGTGCCAGAGTCATTTTTCATAAATTCAGGTTGTATCATGTCATTTTTCTCCTGAGAGCCTTTCAGTGACTCCACCTTGGCCACAAGATAGCGTTCAAGCCCCTCAGTATGGAAAACACAACCTTTCATTATCTGACCTGCACTATCTCACCTGCTTCATCTCCATTCCTCCCTATCACACACCGAAAATTTAATGCTGTAACAATACCCAGCTATTTAACTTTCCCAAAATATGAGCTGAAGTTTCGTATGTTGGTATATTTGCTAATACTGTTTCTTTTACTAGAACATTCTTACATTTTTCCTTATCTTCCAAGGTTAAGTTTGAATATTTCAGGAATCTCCCTTCTGTTATGCAAATAAAGTTAGGTGCCTAGCCCTTGCGCTCTCATAACATCCAGTATATTCCTGAATTACTGCATTTGGCATATGGTATTAAAAATTCTGTTTCCACATCTATCTCCCCCACTAACATCTCTTTAAGAACAGGAACCAGGGCTGGGCCAGGCCTGGTGGCTCACACCTGTAATCCCAGCACTTTGGGAGGCCGAGCGGGCAGATCACAAGGTCAGGAGTTCAAGACCAGCCTGGCCAACATAGTGAAACCCCATCTCTACTAAAAATACAAAAATTAGCTGGACATGATAGTGTGCGCCCGTAGTCCCAGCTACTCAGGAGGCTGAGGCAGAAGAATTGCTTGACCTGGGGAGTGGAGGTTGTGGTGAGCCAAGATCGTGCCACCACACTCGAGCGTGGGCAACAGAGTGAGACTCCATCTCAAAAAACAAACAAACAAAAAAAGAATTACCTCATTCTTTTTAATGGCTGAATATTGTTCTTTATGATGAATATGTACCATAATTTATTCATTCTCTTACTGAATGATATTTGCTTTCAATTTTTCACTATTACAAATAATTCTCCAGTGATTGTCCTTGAACAAATATTCTCATGCTGTTGTTCATGTAATTCCGTAGGAGAAATTCCTTTTTTTTTTTTTCTTTTTTTTTTTTTCTGAGACAGAGTCTCACTCTGTCTCCCAGACTGGAGAGCAGTGACATGATCATAGCTCACTGTAAGCTCAAACTCCTGTGCTCAAGCTGTCCTGCTGCCTCAGCTTCCCAAGTAACTGGAACTATAGGCACATGCCACCATGCCTGGCTAATTTAAAACATTTTTTTTTCTTTAATGATGGGGTCTTGCTGTGATGCCCAGTCCAATCTCAAATTCCTGGCCTCAAGTGTGGGATAAAAGTAGAACTGTTGAAGGAGAGATGCATTTTCATTTTGTGTTAACAAGTCACTCACAAAAACGTGATACCCATTTGCAGTTCCTGCAATAGGTATTAAAGTGCTCTTGTCCCCACACACTCACTGACACTGAGTATTAATGGAAGATCTGCTCTTGTTTGTAGCCCTAGGAAAGAATCCAGTTTAGAGGAGGAGTTTGTAAGTTATAAGAAAAAGAGATGATTGACAGGCCATAGTCACAGAGGGGATGGGTCAAGATGGTATCAAGAGTGCAAATAAAAGGTAAATTTTTTTTGAGACATTAGGAGAGGAATAGTAGGTGGGTGAATATGGAAATAAATACAAATGAAGGAAGACATTTTTCATGTAGTCATCTTTATTTTAGGGAAATTAGAAGCCAGGTTCCCAGTTGAGATGGAGGATTACCAAGATGGAATTTTGAATAAAGGTACAGAAAAGCTTCTGTGAAAATGCTGTAAAGAAGCAGAAGGCAGTCAGTATTGGGAGTTCAACTGAGCTGAGAATGAATCAATTTTGGGGAAGCCAATGGTTGGGGTCACATTAATTTTTCTACAAGAACAAGCAGAGATGTAGTCATTGGATTTGCGTGGGTTTGGGGCCTCTGGGTTGACATAAATTTATATAACATTCACAATAAGGTACTTTTATTTTCCGTATTTTCCTGTTCCATGAGTGCAATTTGTATAGCCCTAAGTTACACATCTTCTGGTTGGTCTGCAGAGGAAAATGATCTCTGTGTGTGTTCTGATTGAAAAAAAAAAGGAGAGAGTATCACTTGTACATTTCCTTGTGCCTACTTTATTAAACCATATAACTAATGATTTTATTTTCTTTATATAATTCTGAACATAAAACCATTTACTTTCTTGGTTTTTATTAATAAATTATGATATGAGCAAACACTGCTAAAAATTCTGATCAGTATAAACCAGAGACATTTATAGAAGATTGTGTGATTTGAATACTGGTCAAAGGCCACCTGGAATAAGTGATAGACCTGGCAACACTCCTTTCAGCTTATTCTTGTCTAGAGATTCCCTCTGCTTCTGGGGAGTTTAAACATTTTAATTTTAGAATCTTGTGTTTTCAGTAGCTGCCTCTATGCGTTTCCAAGTCTTTTTCTTTAATTTTCACATTATTTATGGGCATAGGGAAGACAAAACCAAAGTGTCATGAGTTTGTTGTGAACAAACATGAAGAGGGAACAATGAGAGATAACACATCATTAGAATATTTCTCCCTAAAATAAGAAAAATATTATAAGAGGAAATGTGCTAATGGTGGGAACACAGTTTAATAGAGAAGAAAAATGTACATGTGTTAATTTTCATTAAAATGCCTATTCTATATTTGTCTTGTTGACCTTTCAATGAAATTATGTAAGTATGGAGTCTAGTTCTTTTACATGCACTGTTACACTACTTCTTACATACTTTGGGTACATAATAAATACTGATAACAATTGAAAATTAGAAACACAAATGCATTTGTGTGAGGCACATTGGTGATATTTTAATCCCTAGTGTTCATTTTTAGTACTTGGAAAACATCTTAGATATGCAAGTCTTGTTTTAGCATACTTTTTATTTCTATAGATAGCCTGGTTCTTAGTCATACTCTGCGACTTTATTAGCTGTTTCATCAGTTTGAATCTTATTTCCCCAAATCCCAGTGTGAGCTTTTGGAGAATAAAGACCATTTATTTTCCAAAATTGTTGTGACAGGACACAAAATAGATGTTGAGTAAATTACTTAAATTACACCTCAATAAAAAGTAAGATAAAGAAAGTTCTTAATGAATTGCATTTAAACCCATATTGAATTTAAATATCTGTACGCTCTATGTCCCCTTCTGTGCCTTCAACAGTTCATTCATCGTTGTTCTTTCAGTTTCTTAAAGTCAAACTGTGATGGCTGGCTGCTTGGAACATCATCATCCGTTAAAAAGTACCAAGAAACCCCAAACAGTGGAGAGAATAGGAAGGAGAAGAAGACAGTTGGGTTTCATTCGCATATGAAAGATGATGCCCAGTGGTCATGTCAAAAGAAAGATACGTATAGACCCCAAAGAGGTAAGTTTAACAACTGTAGTGGCAAAATGAGAAGCTGGTAGGTGAAGGTAGTTGCTAGCCAGTGAATTTCAGATGATTTCCTACAATGCTGAGCAAAAGTCAAATGTTTACGCACTGAAGTGTGCCTGCAAGGCCACAGGTAACACATTTACTAGATTAGTGAATTGTATCTGCATTTTTCTTAGAATACTGGAATGAAAAACTGTATACAACTTGTCCCTCTTTTTACAAGCAATAACTGTTAAGAATTAGTCAGCAGTAAGTATGGTCATAGACTAAAATAATGTTCCAAGTGAGTAAAGAGGGTAAGATACTGAACATAAATCTCTCCTGGAAAAATAAACCCTAACAACTACAGTTAATCCTCAATTGACTGGAATCATGGGGAGGGTGGAAGAGAGGTCATGGACAACTCCCCATATTGTGACTAAAGCAAAATCTCACAAGTGTAAAGCATATTTTGCCTAGCAGTCTTTTTAAGTGTCAGTAATACTTCTTGTTATATGTGGTAGATTTTAAAGAAATCAATTATAAATAACTATGTTAAATGTTGAGTGAAGCAAATTTATTTGTTTCCCAGTTCCAGGAGAAGCTTTTGGCTTAATCTATCCTGGCATCCTTACAGGATCGACTTTGGAAAAGAATGGAGCAAGTCTGAGCTTTATTGTACAGAAAAGATGTACAGGAAACAAAGGCCCAAAAAGACGTCTGAGCCCTCTCCTGCTCACACTTCTTTCCTAGGTGTCCTTTTTCCCTTCTCACAACCATTAATCCTGATTTCCTTCTTATTTACCTGTTTTTCTACTGGGCCAGGACCTTTCTACCTCTGGTGTCATGCAACCTACTTTTCATAATCTCTGTAGCCACTCTTACATTTATTTATTTGAAAATTGGGCAGTGCTTTGTGAGATCTTGCAGTTGTATATCTCCCTGCCTTTTTTCATCTGCTACTAGCTCTGTCATGCTTTTTCGGTTTGATTATGATTAATCTAGAAATTGTTTAATCCTATTCCACATAATTGAGAGATGATAAGTCGTTCAAATTTTGGGAGGGAGGACTATCCACAATTTGAAATAAAAGCAAAAGTACGTTTTGTTTGACATAAGGCAAAGAAAGGTTTTGTAGACTTCCATTGCTTTAGAACAACTTAGAAGTTTCTTTTTGGACATTGCCTCCAAAAATAAAACTTAAATTGAAGAAACTTTATGAGGTAGAATCTTTACTTTCTCTGTTAGCGGTCCTTCAGAAATGGAAAACCCTTACCTCAGCTTCCTCTGCTTTTAGTCATTGCACTTTGGAGAGCGAAGAACTAGTCGCAACTGGTGTGGTGGTTACACTGCAAAGCTTAGCATAGTCTTCGGTTAACTTGTCTTCAAATTTGTGTTGTGTGGCAGCACTAAGATAAAATGGCAAAATGAGAAAAAATATAGTGTAACAGCAAAAGAACAAATAACTTGTGTTATTGGTTAAGACCGCAGCAACAGTAGAAAGCAGCAATTGAAAAGGCACTTTGAGAAAGATATCATCAGGCCAGCCCTTGCTGTGGTGGAGGTTAATCTCTCCTGGGCCTAGCTACAGAAGCCAGAAGCCTGAAAAGGGCTTGTGTCCAAAAAAATCAATTTCTAATTTGAAACAAAATCATTTTTGACTAACAGGGGTTCAGAACCCATTACTTTTTGCTGTATAGTCTGCTGACATTTCAGCACTTTCTGTTGTGCACAATGAATCCTAATAGTCATTTTATAATGTTGCTATACCAATCAATTTAACCAAGAGAAAGCTGTTACAATTCTGCAAAGTTTTCAGGAACAGTTTTCACTCATGGTTTTATTTTTTCTTCCATTAGGTTTTTTTCCCCTTTTTTTTGTGGGGGTGGGGGAAGGTTGTAGTGTTACAGTTAAAAAAAAAAAAAAAAAAAAAAAAGAATAGAAACTTTTTCATCTTTTTAAGAGTTTTTATTTTAAGGCATTCACAGAAACTACTGACTCTTTTCTACTCATGAAGAAGACCGTCTTGTATTTTCCTTTTCTTTTATTCTAATATGGTGCTGTTAGCAAAATTATGATCTACATGACCATTAAAGAGGCTAAAGTTGCCCCCCTTTGAGCCATTCTGCCCATTGCACAGCTAGTGTATGCAGATTATAGTACAGGGCAAAGTTATTGCATTGGCATTTGCTGTGGCACCCAACCAAATGGGAGATATAAACTTTCCATGGATGTGCAGTAGACTTGGAAACCCTGTTTATCATAAGGCCGATGACCTAGCACTAATAACCTAAGTTACACTGCTTGGTTTAGCACCTTCTTAATTGCTTTACCCTCTTTAGTGTGTCAGAATTTTTTAATATACTTTTCTTCTGTCTTACATCTTTTGTTTCTTTTGCTGTTATCCTTTACTCATTAAGTACTACATAGGACATTTACTACAGGACCATTAATCTTTATTAACAGTCTCTTACTCCCTTACCTCTCCTATCCTCCTCACCATTCTGCCAGCTTTATGATGCTAAACATGTGGGGAAAAAAAAAAAAACAGACTATTGTCTCAAGAAACAACCTTATGATAGCAAAGATATGTACAGTATTATCAAAATTACACTTAAGATACATAAACTTGTTCATTCATCAGTTTTAGTTGCTTTTGTTGAGCAATGTCAAACAGGGAGATAATACTTGGGAAAATCTAAACTTGAATAAAGAACTTTTAAAAGGCATAAATCTGGAAACACCTGATCTTCATTCCTCTTTTTTCCTCCCTTGCAGCCTCAAAACATTTTCCACCAGCTTGCCTAGAACCTCCCTTTCCTGAGCAATCATCAATATTCCCTTTTATCAGAATCCTCAAAGCTGAGGGCATTTTTTCTTGTTATGGTGATGGGCTAGCAGAGGCTGTGAAGCCACTGAGCGCGCAATTTCCAGAACTGGAATGTTAAACCTGAACTTGGCACTGCCCCTTCCTAAGTCAGGCTGTAAAACCTGACTTTGGCCGCTCCCTTCCTCCTTTTCATTCCTCCTTCGTGAAACTCTTAAATTCCCTTAAAATGTTGGCAGAGGCTGAACCTAGGATAATTTGGATTTACCTGATGGTATAGATTGTGCCCTTCATTTTGCCTTTGGGGTTTTTTTAGGTTATATGATTTTATATAGCAGCTGCCACTAGTTGAGATCCCCTAGTAACTCCCAAACACTTTTTTTTCCCCACTGGACGATGATTATTCTAGACTCAGCTGAAGTAAAGAATAATCTCAGAAGCTCCTAGTTGTTCCTGTAAGTGAGCCTGTGCTTAAAATGATGTGAGTACTCTTCATAACCCCAGGTGGATTAAAGTAGGTGACATGCTTAAAGAAATGAACAATTGGAGTGTCCAAAGTACAGAAATCATTTCTATCTTGCCTCTAAGGAGCATTTCTCCTGTTTCTTTAATTATTACCATCATGATCATTATTCTTTGTTCAACCATAAAGGTACCTTAAGATACTACTTCTGATACCCAGAAATCTCAGCTGAAGATACGCCAAAAGTTGATGTCTTTGTCAACAGCACATAGAATGCAAGCATCATAGAAGGCTATGAATAAACCCAGATATGTAGAATAAATTTTCCTGGCCAGTCCACTAAAAAAAGGAATTCAAATGTAGGAGACTAGTGTTAAGAGTTGATGTTGATATATATGAAATATTATCACCTAAACCAGAGGGTCTACATTTCCCATTCTCTAAAATGGAAAGAAATTTCTCAAAACACTATGTGGTTTACTTATTTATTATATATGTTTTGTATCTTCTCCCTCAGAATATAAGTTCCATATGTTCACTGTTGTATCCCCATCTCCTACAACATTGCTTAACATGTGGTATGGTAGGTACTCTATACATTTGTTGAATGAATTAACATAACGTTGTATATATTGATTTTTCTTTCGATGCCCTTATTCTGTGACTCAGGTAGACTTTTTCACCTCAGTACCTGCTGTGATTTATTGATTTAAGCAAAATATATGCTTGTCTCTTCAAAGTTCTTATGGTGATCAATTGGTAATGCTAAAGAGAAATCAGTAGAGTGGGCTCTTAAAAATAGTACTGGTCAGGTGTGGTGGGTCACGCCTGTAATCCCAGCACTTTGGGAGGCTGAGGCAGGAGGATCACCTGAGGTCAGGAATTCGAGACCAGCCTGGCCAACATGGTGAAATCCCATCTCTACTAAAAATAGAAAAAATTAGCCTGGTGTGATGGTGCGTACCTGTAGTCCCAGCTACTCAGGAGGCTGAGGCAGAAGAATTGCTTGAGCCTGTGAGGCAGAGGTTTCAGTGAGCCGAGATCACTTCACTGCACTCCAGCCTGGGTGACAGAGCAAGACTCTTGTCTTAAAAAAAAAAAAAAGTGCTGCCTTAGGAGTCAAGAAAATATGGGGGGAGGGGGTTCTATTTTCTCATATTCTAATTGAAGTTTAATTTATATACACTAAATTGTAGAGGCTTTAAATGTATAGTGTGATAAATTTTGAAAAGTATATATACCCGTGTAACCACTACCCTAATTAAGATATAGTACATTTCCATTTTCAATAAATCCTCATCCTCTTTTCTAGTCAATCCTCCTGAGGCTTTTCGTCTTGGGTTGCTGATGGCTGCCTTCTCACTGCATCCTCACATGGCCTTTTCTGTGTGTGCATCCCAGGAAATGCTTCCGCTTCTTATAAGGACACCAGCCACTCTCAGGCCCACCCCTATGACCTCATTCAACTTAATTACCTCTTTAAAGGTCTTGTCTCCAAATATAGTCATTTTCTGAGGTGTCCTGGACTTCAGGACTTCAGATTACTTAGGGAAGGCACAACTAAGTCCATAACCACTTTCTTTACAATTTTTGTGCTTTTTCTTTCTCTTTCTTATCTAATCAGACCATTTAGGGGTTTTATTACAACATAGAATACAATGAAAAAAGTAGACTTCCATGCCTTGTTCCCAACCTTGTAGGGAAAAGATAGTCTTTCACCAT